TTTTTCTTCTCTGACTCAATCTTCATCTTTTCCAAGGAATTCTGGGATGCCATCACATAGTCACTCCCTGCGTCTGTCAACGGCGAAGCTGGCGATGGGGCTACCGACTCTGACCCCTCCTGTTGTGACATTTCAACCTCAACCGCCTGGTCAGGCTGTTGCTCACGGTCACCAGAGTTGCCATCCGAGCCCACCTGCATTGATACCCCTGGACTTGGCTCGGGTGCATCTACACTCATGGCGTCGGTGTGTGCAGGAACCCGCACTTGCTCAGCCTCCTTCTCATTGACATGCTCATTTGTGTTCCCATGTTGCCCCTTGTCATTGTTGCTGTCACTCGAAGGGTATTTGGCTTCCGAAACTGGAGCTGTTGGCTGAGGCTCTGATGTTACCACCTCATCAGTAGCATTGCCAACATTGATATGCCCAGGCTCATGCGAAGGATGCTCACCAATGTCACCATCTTCCTTTTGTAGTAGAGATGGATGCTGGGCTTCCTCGTGTGTCTCTTTAGTCTCTTCCATACATGAATCAGGAGCTGGCGCTTTGACCGCTTTGCTGCCCTGGTCCTTGCTGGTAGATTGAAGCCATGTGGTGAACTGGAGGATGTTCTCAACGAGATCTGATTCGGGGTCACTGATATCATAGCCGTCCTCAAACTCATTGGTGTCCACTCCCCACTTCAAGAATTCATTGAACTTGGGATGAACTTTGATTCTCTCAAGCTCGGCTCCAAAGTCGTAGCTTCGCAATGCTTCCACTTCCTGCACCTCATCAGCTCTCAAAACAGATTCAAGATCATGAGGGATGTCGTCAAAGTTGATGTGCTTTGGTCCTGACGATGCGCTAGATCCACTGTTGTTTCCTTGTCCTCGACCTTCAGCGGCATCATCATCACACTTTGAACGTTTGACCGCCTTCTGTTGTTGTTCAGGCAACCTGTTGTTCAGCCAGCCAATGAAGTGGATCACATCCTCCAGTGGATCGGACAACTCGTCACTACCAAAAGCCCAATCTTCTCCGTCTGCATCGATAATGTGCACTGTCATCCATGACAAATATTCCTTGAACCGTGGGTGATTCTCACATTTCTTGATGGCCATCGGTACCTTGGCGAAGTCATTCTTTGTCAGGATGTCACGCAAATTGGCCGGTGGATTGCTGAGATCTTGGATATCATCATCATTGTCATTGACAGTGTTGTCATCACCGTTGGACTTCATATCAGCTTCACAGGGTTGGGGCTTGTCAGCAGTGTTGATGTCAACAAGTGGTTCCTCAGAAGGTGGATCTACCTTCAGCACATCGTCACGGCACTGCTCCTGGAAGAGACGGACTAGCGTTTTTGTAAGCAAGCGAGCGATAGGCTTCCTGAAGTTTGCTGATGGTTTGGCTTGGTCACATAACAAATAAACATTAAACAGTGCTGTTGTTTCATTTCATTTCCTATTTGGGGATGCATCGAGATGAATGAACGAAATAATAGTCAAGAGTCAAGAGTTAACTTGAATCAAAAACACAAACATAACAAAACAATAGCCAAGGCCCTGCCCAGAGCTCAACAAAAAATATATAGTAGTAGTAATGAGTAATATATTATAGTATATTTAATATTAATTTATTGAAGAATTTGTTTAAGTTTATTTAGAGTATCGTCTCAACGTAGTTTGTTTAGATGGACTCATCCAAGTGGCTTCGCATCACAAACCTTCATCATCATCTGTGCTGCAAACATGTGCTTTGAAGAGAATAGTGCCATTGGTACCCGCAGAGCCATGCAATGCCCTCCCAGCACCTTCTCACAAATCATGGTCCCAAAGGGGATGTAGACCGCATCGCCCGGAACCACGTACATAATTCGCAGAGATCTCAGAGCACTTCCCTGTGTAGTCAATGTCTCCGTGTTCAAAGCTGACACAGCTTCTCGAGCATCCTGTTATAAGGTCACTGAGTGTATACAAAACATCACCAAGTTGAACAATGGGGCTCAAACACACTAGACAGTCACTGAGCCCAAGACATTAAGTGAGTGTGTAGTATAGTGTGTAAGCGTGTAATGTAATGCGTAACATTTTATTTTAGATGTTCCTGTTCCTGCCCCCCCCTGTCCTTCAAGATTTGCTTCAGATCTTGTGGAGAACTGGCTTCAATGTCCAGGTCGGGCAAAACCAAACGACAAGATTCTTCCAAACTGCATGTTGCCATCAAGCGGTTTCCTTCTAATTGGTAAAGTAAGTGTCCAAGGCCATCAGGAAAGTGACCACAAAAAAGATCATTCTGTCGAGCGCCCGCCCAAGCGATCTTTGCAAACTTGGTGGATTCCTTCTCAATCAAGCTCTCTGGCAGACCCTGACTGTGGGTCATCTCAAGTAACCTGACTCTCACAGGCTCACACTTGAAATGAAACATAAACAACATGGTTGGCTTATAGGCAAACATTGACACTGGCTGGCACTCTTGTGTACTTGTTTCCTTGACCACTGTCACTGACTGTCACTGTCTATTTTTTCTGATCTACTGACTGACTTGAGACGTTCAATGACACTGATAGGACACTGACAGGCTAACACCAACCAACGACCAACGACCGGCACAAGTCAAGACATAATTCAAATTATGTTGGTCAACTAAACAAGTGACATTGTGCTCAGGTGATCACGATCTATGACTGTGACATCATCCGAGCAATTGCCACCGCTTGTAGCACTCAGCCTTTCAATCTCCATCTGGATCAGCTTGTCGCAACCAAGGGAACTTGAAGGGCCGTTAGCGTACATAACCTTCCGACCATGCATATTCGCCTCACTGAACAGTGCCGTCGTGTCATGGGAGAACTTGTTGAGATCAGCCTGAAGCACTTTTGCCAATGTATTGGCTTCGGTTGATGTGAGTCCCGGACAAACCTGAGTCACACAATGAAAGATGTGTGGCCCCGACCGTGACTGTTCTAGTTTATTTGACAACTGAAAATCATCCCAAGTTCAAACTCACAATTCACAATCACAATACTGCCAAATGCCTGATGTTGCATGTCAATTCCTAAATGTTATTCAAGTTCAGCCCATCAATCCAGTCCAGAATATGTACTGCATTCAAGTAACACTCAAGCATTTCTTGAAGGCTGCCTTCCTCAAGCGAGCCACTGCTGGAACTTCTGAGTTTATGGCAATGGTGTTGATGAAAGTGGACAATTGCTCAAGACGTGCGGTGGCTGGAATCAAAGATGAAGACCTCAATTCCCGTAGAACCATCGGGTCTGCCTCACTGAGCTCAATGCCTTTGCTCATCCGTGACCGACGAGTCTTTGGATTGTCGTCCACCGGCTGCTCCTCTGCGTGTCCATCTCCCAAAGGCCCAGGTTGCTGTTGTTCTTGTTCTTGTTGTTTGGCCAGCTTCCTCCTCTCTGCTTCCTTCTTGCGTTGTAGTGCAGCTTCTGCTCGCTTCTTTTGTTGTTCTTCCTTTTTCTTCTCCTTCTCAGCTGCCTTCTCAAGAGCCTTCTGCTCATCAGCCTTGGCCTTCAACAGCGCTTGTATGTTGGCTTTCCATCCATCAGCCTCTGTTTGAACACATGTTGCAATGGTCTTCAACAAAGCAATCCCATTGCGATGGTTGTCCATGATTTCAATGACTCTGGCAGCACTGGGCTGTAGATCCAAAAGTGTGTCACGACATCGCACAGCAGCACCAACCGTTTGGACACCCTCCTCAACTGCCAACAATGTTGAGGAAAGATCCTTCAAGTAGGGATCTTGGAGACAAAGCTGGTACAGCTCCTGGCTTTTAGTCTTGGACTCAGCTCCATCATCCTTGTTTGTTGCCAAGCGGATGAGGTTCATACGATCCCGCAGGAGGTTGAGTGAGCAATCCTGCTCAGCTGCCTCCTGACTTCCATGAGCCACGACGCTGTCATGAGTCAATACCGCATGTCCTTGTGACAAGGCTTTCTCGAGAAGCACTTCTACACGCTTCCATTCACTGGCTGTCCTAGCTCTTTGACGTGCAGCCTCAACGTTCGGAGACACCTTGCTCTTGGCTGATGGCTTGAGAGGTGGCTGTGGCTTCTTACCTCCTTTACCTGACACCCCGGCTCCGGCTCCGGAATTGGTTCCATCAATGTGGGAGAACGCCGATGTCTTCAAGCTTGGAAAGGATACCAAGCCACCCTCATCCTCTTCAAATTCCTCCCACGCTGTTGCTGCCACTACAGCATGCTGATCCATGACCTTTAGTGATGGCTTTGAAGTCTCATCAATGCACTGTTGTTCCACCCGCTTGTCCTGCAAGCAGAGTTGTCCGGGTCCAGGTCCAGGTTCAACATTCATAAAGTGTAATTATGTCACCAGACTATTCGTGGGATTTGTTGCTGGATGGATGATGGATGTATGATGTTATATACAATAAGTGTTGTGAGATTGGTTCACTGCATCAGCTCTAGTATTACCATATTACCACATGAAATGCAGTCTACTAAGTCTACCACTAGTTTTGTAGCCTGAGTGCCTGAGTCCAGGTTAACTAGTGTGTGTGTGTGTGTGTCAGAGTCCTGGTATGCTGAAGTGACTTCATCTTCATCTGCTTCCAGCCAAAGACGCCATACCTACAAACACGAGCACACTACAGGACACTACACCACCATGTTCAAGTCAACTCAAGGTCTTTGAACACTGGGCTAAAGTAAATTCTCCAATATATGTGAAAAGTCAAACAATAACTAAATGTAAAACTACACACACGACACACATACACAAGAAATTATACCTACATGAACAGGATTGACTGATACCCTTTCTTGTACAACAGTATATGTATATTCAATCCGTTGAAGAAACCAGTGCCTTTCCAAGTGGAACTCCCTCTTCGGAACGGGCATCAACTTGATCTTTGCGTACAGTAGTGGAATTGAAGAACCGCTGCCACTCTTCGCCTGCCATTTTGTGATTCAGTCCTGGGTGAGTCAGTGACTGTCTGACTGAGTGAAACCAATTCACTGGAATCGAGGACTGAGAACCTGGAACTGCTTGATACATATTGTACATATATAATATAATAGTAATAGTCTTAGTCAAGGAACAAAAAAACAAACAAAACCATTTCAAGACTTGACTTGACTAGACACTAGACTAGACTAGACACATAAAAAATAGACTAACCATGGGCCAGGCTTGGCTGGGTTTTACATTGGATCATGGACCTGGGCATGACATGACGGCGTGACCTAGTAATAATAAGCCAGTCCACGTTTCCAGGAGGGGGCTTCACGCTCATGCCACAATATATAGTCTTCCTTAGTGAAAGGTTTCCTCTTGATATTGTTGGAATCCTTCACACCAGATGCCTTGCTCTTCATGACACGACTGAAGTCCCATGTCTTCCGCTGATGACCGCGGCCAGGATTGGGGCACCTCAAGGCTCAAGGCCAACAAAGTCGAGGACTGCAAGAGTATGCCCCCCCCTGGTCAAATGAGTTCTAAGTTCAGGGACAGTGGTTCACTGGAAGGCCCTTTTTGTTTTCCCTTGCTCCCTTATCATAAAACGAGACTAGGCACTCCTCGCAAAAAGACTGCAAATGTTGCAGGAACTGCTCCGGATCATTGGATTCCATAGAACGCAGCGTATTGACCAAATCCTGATTCTTGGCCTTGGAAGCCTGTCGGTACATAGAATCTCTGTAATTCTGATGAGTAGCACACAACACCGAGATCCTTAGTTTTTGTCATTCAGTGATTCAGTCTGATTCAGTCTCACATTGATGAACCGTGTGTAACTCTGTTAGTACATAAAATGGCTGCAAAAATGAGCACCACACTTTCCAGCAATTCGGATCACCATTATCTGGCAGCCCTTCATGGAACACTTCACATGAGTCAAGGATATCGTACTCTTTGCTGGCGTAGGCATTGCTCCCACGGCAACCATAGCAGTGTCCCCTTCCCCGGAGCCACCTCCCATGCCAACGCAACCTGGAATAAGGTTGTGGTTGCAACCAACACGCCTACGTGCCTTGTCTCAAATGAGATCTCGCGAGCCGACAAACATCGAATGAAAAAAGAAACAACTGTTCGTCATCCCAGTCCGAGTCCGAGTCCTTTCATGTATCACAATAGTTTGCCTTCATGTCATGACTTCACAATATTGATATATGTACAATGTACATTGTACATTGTGCATCCCTGTCGTAACACCACAAGCTTGATTACAAAAGGACCACAGTTACTAGTTGCTGGTCTGGTACTAGTTAGGTGTGCCACTCTGACTGCCAAGCTCTAAGCTGCTAGTTACTGTCCTGCCTCGCCTGGTTCATCTGCTACATACTAATCACACTTTCTTCTCATGTCAGTGTCGGCGAATGGCGGTGAACACAGCCCTTGGCTGCTCTAGTTCGAATTAGTTCCCCATAAATTTTGCCATATGTCATGGGTCACACAAATGTCAATGAGGATAACAACATAGTGATCAGTGATCAAATGACCTGAATAGATTTGATCTTATTGATGATTGATATTCACAGTTCATCCAGTAATTTGATACTAGAATTGGAATCCAACCAGTACCACAACTACTACTAATTCCAAAAAATAAAAACATTATGTATTGTATTGGGTTATCATTCGTGATGGGACCCATGTGCTTGTTGGCCCACGTCCACAACAGTTTGCCCGCAATGGATAGGGGCACAGAAACTACCAAGATCTGACAACTGGATCCAAGATCAGTCAATTAGATCAGATCCATCAATCACCACGAAATCGCAATGATGCCAACATCACTGCGTGCATTGTTCCGATACACGATGTGTGCATTGCCTTAGCGATTAAAAGTTCAAGACATTTAAACGAAAACATAATAGTAGGGTCTGGTCTGGTCTGGTGGTCTGAGGCCAGTTTGGGACCTTGGGTTGTACTACTGGTACTCGCGAATTAGCAGTTGGCTTACTACCAATGTTAGTAGATATATTGTACAATGTACAATGTACATTGTACATCTCTAATCTTGTTGACCAATTGCAACCCAACACAAACACGACTAGTCGTTATTGCAGAAACTCTTCGCAATTGCAACCATGTGACATTGCCGGCAATCCGCTTGGCAACGGTTGGCGGGAGCTGTGCAGCAAAGGTAGGAAATGGTTCAGACCCTGAATATGCAGGCCACATAGCTACTCCTTGTGCATTCAAATGCTCCTTGGATCCGAGTTGGGCCCTAGGACTGCTGCTGACACTGGCTGGCACTAGCCGCTGAGTTTGAATCAAGAGATTGAAGCTATGAACAGCAGCTTGGATGCTAAGAGTCTTGAGGCAAAAGCCACCTCTCCTCGCATACATCGTTGTCGGTGGCCATACCATCTTGTATGAGCCACATCGTTC